CCAAAATAAATAATAGAACCAACATTAACATAAAAACCAATTTAATCATAATTCTAACAACATAAAAAAAATTCGTTAGAAAAATAATAATAAAAAGAGCATGATCCTTACTTTGAATCTGTTTGCTTGCAACTACAAAATAATAAACGAGTTAGTAACTTCAAGGAAATAATAAAACAATAACTAAATTAAATTAAATAAAATAAAGTTGATTTTGGGGCCAAACCCTCAAACGATTCTACCTTTCACGCCTTGGCTTAAGGACAGAACCTCGAGTGAAATATGGACTCCATTGAGTGCTTGAAGAAGGAATTTTGAAGTGAAAAGGGTAGGCTAGTGTTTAGGTTAATAGCATAGAAGAGAGAAAATAAGAATCATCAAATTCTAGTTGCCCCGTACATCAGAAATGAGGGGGTATTTATAGGGAAAATGTGCTGAAGGAGCACACGGAACCCTAAAATGATAAAAAAAAACCTAAAAAAGTATACCGTGACACGGTCAGACTGTACCGTGACACGGTCAGACTGTACCGTCAGACGGTACACTTTCCCGTGACACTGTACAGTTTTGGAGCGACGCGGGAAATTTTCAGAAAACGGAATGAAAAACGCGTTAAGGGTTTACGCGGAAAGGACACGGAACATCCCGTGGCACGGCAGACCCCCGTGTCACGGGAAGTCCCCCCGTCAGACGGGAAGGGTTTCCGTGACACGGTCAGGCTATACCGTGACACGGTCAGTTCCAGTCCATTTTTCCGTCTAAATTCATTTTTAACCCTAATTTCTTTCGACTTTTTAAGTGCCGATTGATAATTTCGGGCTTTTTCCTGACTTTTATTATTCGGGCTAAAATAAGAAAATAATGAAATAAAAATAAATAAAATATTTGGGCCAAAAATAAATAATAAAATAATAAAATAAAAGGTTTGGGCTTAAAATTAATTAACAAGCTTGGGCTAAAATTAAAACTATGCTTTTACCAAATACCAAGACTAATCCATGGACCTTTTAAAAATAAGAATTTAATAAAATACGATTTTTAAAGCACTCTCGGGTTTAAATACTAAACCCGACCAATAGAGGCGGTGAAAGGTTATTTATCATCGGGTTTGGTTTTAGGGAGACATTTTTAGGTGTCTACAAGACCTCATCCACTCTAACCTCTTTTGAACATCCAGAGTATCCATGTGAAAGAAGAGCTATGAATCCGAAGAGAGCTAGTTTTAAAAAAAATGATAAGTAATAATAATAAAAAAAAATAATAATAATAATTACTAAGTAGTCATACCCAAGTCAATCTGCACCCATCAAATATAACCCCTCCCCACGTATCCCATTAGACTGATCATAAGCATATATCAGCGCATCCAAACAATATAGCACTTAAGAAAAAACAAATTAATTTTATCTAGCATTAGACTACTCAGAATCAATATTTCAGCGGATGCAAGCATGATATCAGTTAAGAAAAGCATATCAATTTTACCAAGCAGTAAACTGATCAGAAGCAATATATCATCGTATATAAGCAACATATCTGAAACTTGTGCATATCATACCCACAATTGATTTGTTTACATGTATTCAGACCAAATAGATCAATTACCAGAGCATGCAAAGAACTAATATGAACAAAGAAATTGAATAGTACACTAACTATCACAGACTTGACCTAAAAAAAATAGAATAGATTATACCCAAAAAAAATCAATTAACCTTTACAAAAATCGAATTAATTAATCTAAAATATATATGATACCATCCGAAAAGGAGAAAATTAAAGAATACAAATCAATTGAACACAACATTCACGCCAAAATCGCAAAATTGATAAAATTTAGAGTATAATTCTTTTCAAGCATATCAACTATTAGAATACAAATTTGTCGACGAGAGGGTGCAATTGGTACCATATTCAAATTAAAAGAAGTTAAATTACCGTATATTTCATACAATAAAACACAAAACCTAACAAAATTATGAATACTATCTTACCTTGGTCTTTCAAGGAATTGAAGGAACTGTCTTGTGAATGGTCTTTCAACGAATTCAAGGAATTTGTTTTTCACTCTATTAGCGTTTGGATGCGAACTGCAATGACTCTCAACTCTCAAGCAAAACAAGGTTTTACAAATCTGAGAGGACTTTTTTTTTATTTCCTTTCTTGAATATTGACGGCTAATTAAACATGAAAGTGAGTTTAAGCGCCTAATTAGTTTGGGTTGTGTGTTTTGATTTTGTTTTTTTTTTTTAACTTAAGGGAAATATTTATTAATCATATTATAATTATAATATACTCCGTAATGTGTTTTCAATAAAAATACTACATCTGTTAAATATTAGTTGCAACTTTGGGTATTATTTGAGAGACATAAATATTCCAAAGTTGCAACTAATATTTAACGGAGGTAGTAATAATAATTTTAATATAATGTATGCAATACTACACCGTACACTAGTCTAACCTTTAGGGTCGCATAAATCTCCGATCTCGATATATATCAAACTAATTCTTGTTCAAATCGGGTCAATTTTGGACAAATACTTTAAGACAAACTCAAATTAGTCAATTAGTTATATTATGTCACATTTACAAGGGTGAACGCACCATGCCACTAAGAAACAACATCGGGTCAATAGTTGTACTTTAGCTTATCCAGATCAAATCAAGTTCGAGTAATCACTTCTCATTAGACCATCTTTTATGAATTATTTGAAGGGAAAACATATTCATGTGAAAATTTGTTAGGAACCTATCAATAAGCAGCTAATTACGTACTTTCATATAATAAAACTTTTACCCCTTTTGTGTAACAATAAATGAAACATTTTAATTTCACGGAATTTTAGGATGGTTAGTTGAATTTATTAAAAAGTAGACAGAATATTAGTTTTAAAAAAAGAGAAGATACTAAAAATATAGGAAAAATTGAAAAGAATAATCCCACCTTTCGCCAATCTGCTCAAAATAATCCCACCTTTTCGAATTCCAGAAGTAATCCCACCTTAACACCCCATCTGCTCAAAATGAACCTTTTTACTTACAACCGTTTAAACAGGTAAATTTTTTGTTTTTGTTTTTTTTTTAATAAATTAAACAAAGGAAAAAGAAAAAAAAAGATAAAATCCCAAACACCCTAACCCAGCCCACCCCACCATTGGCACCGCCCCCACGACCACCCCTTTCATCGCCACCATCACAACCCCCAACCGGTAGAACAGCCGGACCAGCCCCCCTTCTCCGATTCCCTCCCCTTCTCCGTTCCCCCTTCCACTTCCCCTTCTCCGTTCCCCCTTCCAATTCTCCTTCTCCGATTCCCTCCCCTTCTCCCTTCCACTTCCACTTCCACTTCCCCGATTCCTTCCCCTTCCACTTCCCCTTCCCCGATTCCCTCCTCTTGGTGTGTGAAGTAATTCATCGTCGGGCCCAGAAACTCCAATTCGAGTTCGACGCCAACAATCACGAAATAATCCCACAAATAAACGCCTCCAATTTGAAAAAAATTAGCTCCGGAATTTGCTGCCTAAATCGGGGGTGGAGGTGGTTTTCGTGGGTTGGGTGGGGAGGAGGTTGTTTTGCTGTAGATCCACACGCCGGCCGACTTCCATTTCTTCCAGTTCAAGTGGGGATTTCGGGTCGGGGTTTCGGGTTGTGATGGTGGTAAGGGACAGCAGCAGGAGTTGTGATAGAGGTGATGGTGGTGATAAAGGGGTGGCGGCAGGGGTTGTGATGGTGGTGATGATGGGGGTGGTCGTGGAGTTGGGAGAATTTTTTTTATTTTTAATTGTTTTGTTTTATTTTTAATTATTTAAAATTAGGACGATCAATTAAAAGGTGACAAGTGTCAAGTCACCTTCTAAAACAGGTTACTAATTTCATAATCCGGTAAAAGGTTCATTTTGGGAAGATGGGGTGTTAAGGTGGGATTATTTCTGGAATTCGAAAAGGTGGGATTATTTTGAGCAAATGGGCGAAAGGTGGGATTATTCTTTTCAATTTTTCCAAAAAAATAAGAAAATGTTTCATTTATTTAAACACAAATTAAAGGGAGAATGATTTTTAATTATAAATAATAAAACATATGGATATGGTTAAAGTTCTCCTTTGACAAACGTGATGAATGAAATAAATCAGCTAACATTGTAGAGTTTGATAGAATTCTTTCATTGAATTATTAAATTACTATTAATTGACTTTAAAGTGAACTTTGGTAATAATCACTCAAACACAGTACATGTGATGTAACAACACAAAATATTGCTATAAAGTCAAGTAATGAACAATATTATGATTCTTTCTTACAAGTAAGATTTGAATATTTGATGAGGTTATTACATATGTATTTATGCTTTCATCTGTTTACCACGGGCTTAATTAACCATTTAACCTAAGAAAGAGTCATAAAGTAACTTAAAAAAAATTAATGGACCCATAAAAGCTTACTAACAACATTATCAAAGTAATTAGTTTATTGTTAAAAAATGTTTTAACAATCCTATTCCAAATTATTTTTTATCAAATACCCAACACACTCTTTCATCCGAAGAAAAATAGGGGTAAATGTCTCAATTTATTAATTTATATACCAATATGTCTCCACATGTTAACTTTTATACCAATATGTCGTCGGCAATAACTTATATACAAATATGTCATAAGGGTGTTAACTTATATACCAATATGGTCAACTGATCCTCATATTTACTACTCAATTATATCATTTATATTTTACACGACCGTGACACAACTAAACTAATGTAATAAATTTATATTACTTGAATCAATTTTTCTTACTTCATAAGCTTGTCTTATCACTGTAGTGCAATTTTACAATTATGCTCATATCTACTACATACTTAATTATACCATATTAAATTTATATTTTTAAAATAATAAATTTATATTTATAAAATGTCTAGTGACCAAGTACTATGTAATTGTTGTACACTATCTTTAATTTAACTAGATACTTGGGTATTAAATTACAATATTACAAATAAAGTTTTTAATCAATTTTACAACTTTTAAGTGAAAATTTAGGAGGGAAAATTACCTCCATAATCAATAAATCATTTAACTTGGTTAAAATTTTATAGGAATATTGGCAGATAAACTCCCTCCAAGTCTCCAACTCCTCCAAGTGCATATAAAAAAAAAGTGAAAAATCGTAGTAAAACTTCTCTAAAGTGGAAAATCACTTATGATCCACACCAGAAAATACCATTATCTTCTGATTTCAAGCATTTATCCATCATCTACCTTACTCTATTCTCTTTCTCAAGTGGGAAATCTCAAATTCATAGGTAATTTCCTTCTCTCCAAGATCTAAAATTTAATACTTCTCTAAAGTTAGGTTTCTTCAAATCAATTTGAGGTTTCCATGAGTTGTGAAATTTGTATTTAATCTCTCACCATCAGCGAATTAGCTGATGTATTGATGGTTACTTGATTTAGTTGTTTTTGCTTTTTTTTGGCATTTTATGGGTGATTTGAGGTCGGATCTACATTGGTTTTCTAAAAATTATTTGATTTTTTTTTTGGGTTATACAAAGTATTGTTTTTCTTGAATTATTTGCATTGTTTTCACTAAGTTGGGTTTCTGAATAATATAGTTATTTTTTTTAATCCTGAGAATTGAAGTATTCAATTTTTTTTAATCTGCGGCTGTATTTTTATGCTAGCAATTGATTGTGTTCGCTTTGTTGGGATGTCATCAAATAAATATATTGATGTATGTATTTCAACAATGGATAAAAGTTCTGACGAGAGCTCTGCAACATCCTATCATATAAGAGATCGATGCTTTGATTGACTAAGTGTAGAAAAGGGGTTCTCTTAATGCTTGTCAATTACTTGTCATATAGGAGATCAGCTTGATACGTGCATTTTATCTTTCTTTATATAGGGATTGACCCATTTTGATGAGTTCTACAAGTAGCTGATGGCATTGTTCTCTTTCGTGGAAATTTGGGAATTGATCTCCCACTAGAGAAGGTCTAGTTCTTTTTCCCATGGTGTTTTTGGAAAATTATGTGTATTTCTTGAATGTGAATCAAGGTTTTAATGAAGCAATTTAAACAATCTACAGACAATGGTAACTTGATCATATCTTAAAAGGCCTACAGATTAATATCAATATGATGGCTAATTGATTAAATGTACTTGTTATAATGGATTTTACAGGTATTTTTATTCCAAAAGGCTGCTCTGCTCAAGTGTAACATGGCTGGTAAGCCAGTAGTGGTTACTCGTGTGGTGGATAGCATGACTGATAACCTTAATTAGACCCACACGAGCTGAGGCAACTGATGTTGCAAATGCTGTATTAGATGGTATACCAGTGTTTTTCAGATTCTGAACATCTACATGTTACTTATAGATTCTCGTTGATCAATTTTTAGAGTATATACAAAAAGGCATGTTTTCATTTTATTAATACTCATAGTGAACTTCAACTTATTTAGAAGCCTTCTACTGCAGATTTTCTTCATGAGCATGTATATCATTGTTTTGCTAATATACTTTCTCCTCTATATCTGATTGATCCAGGGAGTAATGCAATTATTCTAGGTGCAGAGACCTTTCGTAGCTTATATCCAGTTGATACCATCTCTACTGTTGGCAGAATATGTTTTGAGGTGATTTCATGCACTTTCTTTTCAGTCATCTAAGAATGAGCTAGTTGTCTGCATTTGGTGCTTTTCTTATTGGAATATGAAGTATGAACTAGTTAACTAGTTTAATGAGGGTAAGACGAGGGAGAAATAAATAAGTGGAAAGGCTTTTGTTTTGGAATTAGAAGTTATGGAGCAATGGTAGTCCTACCTAAAAATGATTCAACGACATAAGTCTATAACAATAAAAATCTAATGTGGAAAGTGAATTGAACTTATATAACTAACTAAATAAAAGCAATGTCAAAGATTAGGAAGCTATTATAAAAATTTCATATGCTTTCTTGATATGCTTGCTTGACATTTGAGGTCTAGATAGTTGGGGTTTCTAGTTATTGCCACAATATTGTTCGGGGAGTATTGCGTCATCCATCCCCAACAATGAGATACATAATTCTGTAAAATTCTTTTGGATACATCCTTTGTAATCCATGTAGGCTCTAGAATTAGTAGCTAGACAATAAATAGCTTTTTCCAGCAAGATAATGACTGAAACCTCGAAGGAAATAAGCAAAAGCCACAAGACATCAACTTATTTGATTCTTAATTGCTATAACAGAAAAATTAGATGCTTAGAAGTCTAACAAAATATAAAATCTTTTGAAGGAAGTTTAGGAGGGGGCTCAACTAAGTTGATGATGCATCTGACCATCCATTGATGACAAATGTTAGGTTGTTCTAGCTTGGTGTAGGCTATCTTCTCTTCACCAGTTTCCAGGAACTTATTGCTTAATCCATTTAAAATCAAACCAGGTATTATTAAACTAGTAAAGTTCACATTAATAATTAAGACCCCTCCAATAATGGTTGTCGTTTGTGTGCTTAATTACTTTAAGACTCCTGGACCAGATGCATGCTGCTATGCTTTAGCTGCATGCTTCTTTGCTCTAGGTGCTGCTTTGCTCTACAGTACTGTTGCTGCTTTGCTCTAGAACTACTGCTGCTCTGCTCTCGCTGCTTTTGTAAATTTTTTAATATGAAAGTGTAATATTACAACCATCTATTATTATTTTTTTTATTACAAATGTCCTTTCATATGGTATCTGAAACATTTAAGAAAATAACAAATTCTTCTTTTGTATATTGCCTAGTTAGGCAAGCAAGCAAAGGAGTCTTTAGGAAATGATATTTAGTTACCGCTTGGTAGGTATGGGTAATCTAATCGTCAACCCGCACATTTACTTTCTATGCTGTAAGATTCATTATGGAATTAGTCCAAGTTTATTTTCCTTAAACAACGTGATCGGTTTGTATCAATATATGTTTGACACAAAAATAAAATTAAACGTGATAGTCCTGACAGAAGTGTTAGATTGAATGCCACAACGAAAATAATATCCGTGACAAAAGTGTTTGTTTGCCACAAGAATAATATTAGTCGTGGCACAAGTGTCAATTTTCCACGGGAACATAATTACCCGTGGCATAAGTGTTTATCTGCCACGAAAAAGAAATTTAGTCGTTGCACAAGTTTCAATTAGCTACGAATTTCCTTTTTCCCGTGGCATAAAATTTTGTTGACATATCAAGTTTTTTGTTGACTTTATTTTTCCAGTGGCTAGATCAAATTATGCCACGAATTTCATATTCCCATGGCATAATTCGTGGCACAAGTGATTAATTGTTGTAGTGTTAGGCCATTGACTGTTGAGGAGGTTTATGCTCGAGTTAAGGGTATACGAACGGTGTTTGGAAAATCTGAAAAAGTTTCGGTCTCAACTGCTCTCTTTAAAAAATAATCAATCTTTTGGAAGCTTTCGTACTGAAAAGAACATGAAGTTAGGCACTGTCTTGATGTGATACATATAGAGAAGAATGTGTGTGATGCTCTTATGGGAACGTTGATGAATATTCAAGGCAAAACAAAGGATGGAAAGGGTGCACAGTTAAATTTGCAAGAGTTGAGGATTCGCCCGGAATTGTGGCCTCAAGACAGGGTTAGAAAGGGAAAGGATAGAAAGGGAAAGGAACCGAATAATGAAAATGTAAATGTTTCAAAAAAAAAGGAAAGGATAAGATCAAGGGAAAGGCCAAGGATGCTTCATAGAAGAGAGATGAGGGTAAAGACAAGGTTGAGAAGACGTATTTACCACCGGCATGCTACACATTGTCAAGGGTAGAAAAGCGGATGTTTTGTGCCTGTCTGTACGGCATTAAGGTTCCATCAGGGTACGCGTCTAACATGAAAAGATTTGTATCCTTAAATGGAGAATTAAAGCTTACAAGTATGAAATCCCATGATTGTCACATTCTGATGCAAGTATTTATACCGATTGGAATACGTGGTATTTTACCGAAGAATGTGAGGGAAGCTATTACTAACCTTTGTTTGTTTTTCAATATAATATGCAGCAAAGTGCTTGATCCTTGTTTACTTGATGCTTTGCAAACGAATGTGGTTGTGACTTTATGCAAATTTGAGATGTATTTCCCACCCTCTTTTTTTGACATAATGGTGCATCTTATTCTTCATTTGGTGCGTTAGATTAAGATGTGCGGTCTATTGTTCCTAAGGTGGTGCTATCCTTTTGAAAGACACATGGGTACCTTGCAAGATAAAGTAAGGAATCCGGCTCACCCGGAAGGAAGTATGATTCAAAGGACCGTGAGCGAGGAGATTGGTAATTTTGTGGCCGACTATATAGCCGTTGCTGAACCTATTGGTCTTCCTACTTCTCGACATGAAGAGAGACTTGAAGTTCATGGCACAATTGGGTCGAAATGAATGTCACCTGATCGAGATCAGTTCTTACAAGAACACCTTTATGTGTTGCACCATGTTGCAGATGTTCACCCATATTTAGACGAGCACATGGCTAGTTTGTGTGATGAATTTCCATCGAAAGGTGAAAGGGCACTGATACAGTTGCATAATAAGAAGTTTGTCAGTTGGTTTCATGATCGAGTGATTAGTCGATTGGATGATAGTGTCACCGATATAGTAAGGTGGCTTGCTTATGTGACTAGGGATGATGTCTGCTCATTTGAGGGATATGACATCAATGGGTACACTTTTTGGACAGAGGGTTGGGATTTGAAATCTTCCTTAACCTAAAACAGTAGTGTAACGCTTGTGGCATCGTCAAGGGAGTTTGCAAGTGCTAAGGATAAATCACCTGTCGATGCAAAGTTGTCATACTACGGTCGAATACAATAAATATGGGAGCTTGATTATTGTAACTTCACGGTTGCTCTTTTCAAGTATAAGTGGGTTGATAAAATCAGGCGTAACGTCAAATATGATGACTTTACTCTTGTAGATCTTGGCCACTTGAATGATAGTGCGGAACCATTCATCCTAGCATCTCAAGCTAAGCAAGTGTTTTATGTAACTGACCCAGTCGATTCAAAATGGTCTATTGTGCTAGCCGGAAAAAGAAGAATCCTAGGCATTGGAGATGTTGAGGATGAGGAAGAATATGACGCGTTTGATGATTCAACACCTTTCACTGTTCCTAGACCTATTGTAGAAAATGACATAGACGACCAAGCAAATTATATACGATCAAACCACAACGAAGGAATATTAGAGTGAGGTACTATTTATGCTATTTTGATGTTATTTCCAGCCTTAGCCACGTTAAACTAAGTATAATTGACATGTTATGAGAAAGAACTAGTTCATTAGTTAAGAAATGTAGAAAATGGGCAAAGTAGTAGTCATATAGGCCTTATTTAGGCCATTTAGGTTGAAAATGCTATTTTGATGTGATTTCAAGCATATATGTCAACTTACTTGCCCATTTTCTATGTTAACTTGTATTATAGAGTCAATTTGGTGAAAATGGAATGAAAGTGACCTACATATTAACTTACCTGCCCATTTTCTATGTTAACTTGTATTATAATTCATAAGTTTATATTTGATTTTAACGTTTCCTAACAAATTTATCTCTAATACAACTGATGAGGTGTTATGTTTCTAATGGCAGGTGTTTATATCTCATGGCAGACGATTATGACCTTCATTGTGTGGAGGATTTGGAGGATGACGATGATAGCTATGAGGATGATCTTTATGATGTCAACAAGGAGAATGATTTGGGTGAGCCGGAAGATCAGGCTCAAGATGAGTTTGAGCGTAGGCTTGAAGAGTTTGAACTTTCAGCCAAACGTGCGTCTCCTATTGAAAATGCAATTTCTGAGATGGTTGGTGAGAATTCTACTCCTCAAACTCAAAGCCAAGGACATGATGATCAAATGAACACCGGTGGTAGAGGGGGGGTTAAGGCACCAGCTATGAGAAAGGGTAGGGGTCCAACGACAAGTTTTAAGAAGCCTACCGGTGCTATGGTGTTGGAGTATGACAACAAAGGACAACCTACGGGCGAATGGCGTCGGGAATATGGAAACCAAGTTGGCATGTGTGCGCGCAAAATACCCATTACGTTTGGTTGGCGGCAAGTACCTCCCGGCTTGATTCAAACATTTTGGGATGATACAAGGGCAAGTGTTTTGTTTGCACATTTACACAATTATAAATACCTTCACCTTACGGTTGTTTGTAAATAGAAACTAGTTACTGCTTTTATTTGTGCTTGCAGAAGCTGTTTAATACTCGTAATGATGCCGACAAGAGAAGGTTGTTTGAATCTTTAGTAGCGGAAAGATTCAGAGGCTTCAAGACCTTCTTGACTAATGGATGGATCTTGTGGCATCGTCAAGGGAGTTTGCAAGTGCTAAGGATAAATCACCTGTCGATGCAAAGTTGTCATACTACGGTCGAATACAAGAAATATGGGACCTTCAAGACCTTCAAAAGAAGAAGAAGAAACGAAAGAACAAAGCCTGCAAGGGGAAGGATAATGAAGGTGGAAATGACAAAGTTGTTGAGGAAGAAAAACTCCCATGGCAAATATGGCCAAGTGTTAAGGAGGATGAGTGGAATGCCTTCGTTCTTCAAAGAAATAAAAAAAAACGCTGTTGTAAGTTTTGGTAAATCTATTAAGTATTGTATAATATATTGACTCTTTTTGAAGTAATGATACTTACATTTCTTTTTATGTAGGAACTTTGAGAGCAAAATATGGCAAATGCATTGCAGAAGGAGAACATCCATCGTATGGGGGCCAAGACATTTAGTGAATGGAGGGTAACTTGGATCAAAGAGAAAATATACCCCATTTTGCTTGAAGGGTTATCCAACGAAACCTCTAACTCCACGATCACTACGTTAGTGAGTCGTGTTACGATTTCATTTGTTCCCTCCATTTGTTTGATAAAGAAACCGGAAAATGGCTCATCAAGGAACCGAAAACAAAAAAAAATGGTTGATAAACTTGTAAGCTAACTATAACCTTGTACGCTTTATGAAACTTTTGCGTAATTATCATTATACAAAAACATTAACTGTATCTGTGTTACCTTTTTGTTTTTGCTATAGCTTGAGTACACTACAAAAGTTGTTCAAGGCAAGATGGTCCCAACTGTAGAGAAAGATCCTTTCACCTTGGCTTTGGGAAAGCCCTACCATCCAGGATGGGTAGTAGGTTAGGGGGGGACATTGATAGGATGGGAAAAGGTGATGGGTTCATAATAAACAAAATCGGGAAGATCTCGATCAAGTGTTAACTTATCGGGTGACTTGGATGCCAAGGTAGCATCAATTAAGGAACAAGTCCGCAATGAGTTAGTAGGTGAATTCAATGCTTGGGCGGAGCAAATGAATTTACCCTTGTCGTTCCCCTCAACTACACCGATCAACTCAAGTAGTCACCCACAAGGACAAGGTGAACATGAGAGACATGGAGAAGATGAGATACATGAGGTAGTTTCCAATCTCTTAGTTTTGGCATATTGAGTTACGTGAGATCTAAGGTGGCATTGTTGATTAACTATTGTAGGTCGGTACTCCTACACATGCGGACTTTAGGGCGCTTGAGCATCCAACACTCCATGAATTTCCAGATTTACAGGTGACTAACATAGTTTATTTTGTTACTTGATCAATTGTGTAGGAAAGACATCTTTTAATTAGTTTTATTTTTTACGAGTGAATTTTGATATTGGTGTAGGAAGAGACCCAGTGTGTACTTCTAGCCCCGGGGCTATCAAATAGTGTATATTTGCATTTGGTGGCATATGGTTGTGCATAAGCAACGACCGGTGATACAGTCCATTTTCGACCGCATAGGCCACAACATTACTCGGTCGGGATCAATTCTTTGATTGATGGGTTCGAAAACATCCCACTACCGGTGCCCATAGCGGAGGATGGGATTAGTATACTTTGGGAAGCAAAAGGTAGCTATGTGCAATGGCCACGTGCTTGGGTAAGGTTGATCAACGAGGTAATATTTGAAGTTTATGTTGTTCTAATTAAACAATTTGCACTCACTATCCTTTTGTCATAAAAAATTAATCAAAACTGCGCTCTAAAGCATACGTTCCCCATTCCCTGATCCCGCTCCGTCCCATGTTCCCCGTTCCCCGACCCCTCTTTAAAAACACTCTACACCCTGGACCACAGCAGCCTCGGCAGGTGTTGCGTGGGCCGCAGCAGCTGCAGCCTGGGCAGATGTTGCCTAGGCCCCAGCAACCTGGGCAGTAGTTGCTTGGGCTGCTGCACCCTGGGCAGTTGCTAACTGGGCCGCTGTAGCCTGGGAAGATGATGAGTGTCATTTATGGCACTCATAGGGTAGTGTTTTAGGATATTTTCATTATGCTTTTCATGCTTTTCTTTTACCTTTTCGATCATTTCTCCTCTAGTTTCTCTATTTCTTCTTATCTCGTGTTTTGCTTTCCTTTATGTGCATTTCTTCGTGTTTTCCTTTTATATTTCTATTTTTCTCTTCTATTTTATCTCCTTGGTTTATCTTGTAGGTTTCTAAAGACTTATCTTTGCAAAGGATTCAAGAGGAGCAAAAAGAGCCAAGCAAAGGAGCTTTAAGTCTCATGGAGAGGGCTTGGAGAGGGCTCGGAGAGGGCTCTCCTCTTTTTCTCAAAGACGCGGGCGCGGGACCCATTGGGCCGCGGGCGCGGGTTTTGTGCACTCTTTGGGGATTTTTTGGCAGGAACTCTCTGCGCCCTACCCGCGGGTGCGGAGATGTTGGAGAGGGAGCTCCGTATCAGAGAAACCGCGGGCTTGTATTGGAATAGCGCATTTTGTCGCGCCCTGTGCCGCGGGCGCGGGTTTTACCCAGACTGCCCGCGGAGGTAGTTATAGGTTCCGTAACCATTTCTCTGCGCCCGCGGGGTCTTTAAGGAGAGGGCGCGACCGATCAACTTTTGTTCTTTGCCTATATATACTCTTGTAAATCCTTTTGAAGGCCAACTTTTAGATAATATTTCATTTGCTTAATTTTTAGAGAGAGAAACACTACTACAAAAAAACCCCTAATAAGTCGGACTTTTAGAGTCACCTATACATAAGGTGCGACTTATAAACCTATCGAGTCACCTCATATTTATTAGGCGACTTGTTAAGTTGGGGTTAAAATCAACAAAGCACCTAATGAGTCGCCTAATATATATGAAGTGACTTGATAAGTTAACTAGTCGCCCTATATATGCAAGCGATTCTATAATCTGGCTTATTTGGAGGTTCAAATTAGATTTTCAAAGTCACCCGTACATAAGGTACGACTCAAAAGCCTGTCGAGTCGCCTTATACATATTAGGCGACTCAATAGGTGAGTTTTCTTATCTATGACTCTCACCTAATGAGTCGCCTGATATTTATAAGGCGACTCGATATGTTAAAAAGTCGCACCTTACGTACAGGTTACTTTAAAAATCTAATTTAAGCCACCTAATAAGTCGGGTTATAGAGTCACATGCATATATGGTGTGAGTTATAAACCTATCAAGTCACCTCATGTATATTAGGCGACTCATTAGGTGCTTTGTTGATTCTAACCTCAACATAACAAGTCGCCTAATAAGTATGAGGCGACTTGATATGTTTACAAGTCGCACCCTATATATAGGTGACTCTAAAAGTCCGACTTGTTAGGTGCTTTATTATATAAACACTACCTAATAAGTCGCCTAATACGTAAGACGCAACTCGATAGGTTAATCCTGAAAATGTTTATAAAATAGTTACAATATCATATATATATATATATATATATATATATATATATATATGAAAAGTAACTTTGGCATAATGGCAAGAAATTCAATCTTCCAGGCAAAGAACCAGAGATCAAGCATGCTCAGTGTCATAAACACTGACATTATATGAGCTAATAAAAATAGTTGGAAAAAATTTTGATTTTTTACGTGTCGCCTCTTTCAACACAAGAGACACAATAGGTTAACCTATGGAGTCACCTCTTTCAACACAAGCGACACAATAGCTTAACAAATAGAGTCTCCTAACAACTAATAGGTGACTTATATAAAAGCTATCAAGTCGCCTCAGAGGCGACTCCTAAAATTGGAAGCTATTGTGTCGGTGGCTGTGGAGTCGCCTTTAAAGCGACTCGTTAGGTCATTTACAGGCGACTTGATAGGGGTTTTTTGTAATAGTGAAACTAGAGAGAAGTTAGAGAGAAAGTTGAGATTGTAATCTTTGGATTTGAATTGTAATTCAACATTGTTTCTTCAATCAAAAATTTGATTCTTCTTCAATATCAATCAAAGTTAGTAAGATTTCTTTCCTTTGAATTTACTTCTATTGCAACTTACTTTTATGCTTGAATATTTGGTTAGATTTGATGATTTGTTGATTGATTGAATTTCCTTTTTATTTATCTTGAAATGAATGTGTTTGTGATTGAATTTGTTTTAGCTTTAGAATTCATCATGATTAGTGAGTAGATTAGTTGCTAGGGAGAAAGGGAAGCATGCTTGATTGATGATTATTGTTAATTGATGATCCTTGATTGATTAATTTTTGTAATTAAATTGGTTGACATAATTGTGCATGTGATTAATTAGACTAGGAGTGATCAACCTATAAGATTAATCTAGATTGCATTGCGAATTCCAATGACACGAACAATTAATTTGGGAATTGCTTTAATTGATTGAATTTGATTGTGATTCTCCTTGTTAATCATTCATAGTGAACCCTAGTTTGGTTTATAGGAGGTAACCTTTGAATTCCTTTGATTGCAACTATCGTTTGTCCTTTGCAATGTATGAATCAATTTGGTGATCTATCAATTAGCATGATTGTTAAGCTTGCATGTGGAACCTATATCCTTAGTGTTTAGCAATTTGATTGAATTCTTGATTCTTGTTATCATACTCAACCTTTAACAACTCTTCAAAATAGCTTGACGTTAGACTATAACATGGTTTTTATTCATTCCTTTGGGTTCAACCCTTAGCTTACCTCTATACTCGTATAAGGTTTGTTAAGCATTTACAAATTTAGTTTGACTTAGGTAGAACTAGATGACGACCTAGTTTCAACCCTTATCAGCTGATGTTGCCTGCTGGGCCGCTGCAGCCTTGGCAGCTGCTTCCTGGCCTGGGCCGCTTGTGTAGGGGCCTGACAGCAGCTGTCTTGGATGATGCGGCCTCGACAGATGCTGCGTGGGCTGATGCGGCATGGGAAGCTCCTGTCTTTGCTGCTGCGTCCTTAGTAGCTTCACCCGACGGAGATTTTTTTATCCTCACTAATCTTTGTTTGATCAGATTTTGAATAAAAGCCAAACATCAAAGAAAAGGAGGGTGGAGAAGCATACAACCATTGATCAACCTACAAACAAGGTGAGTGAACAACGGTCGAAGAGTGAACATGTTTCGAAGAAGAATTCTTCGAAAGGTTCAGCCATGCAACCTACTCCACTTGTTGGAGACGATGTCCGTCAATCACTCTCTAAGGATTTAACTTTTCTACACAACCGTTTTAAACATTTGCCTAGTGACGATCCCATTGAAATTGCCCTTCTAGGGCAATGTTCCACTATGATGAGGATGCAAGTGCATGGTTATCCAAACAAGATGTGAAGGAATTTCTAAGTGGTTCAATGCTTAACATTTCCCTCATTCAAATATTCATGTGGTACTTGAGTGCCACTTCAATGGGGTTTTATTAATGTTGATTATCCTTCAAATTTCAATTAAGTTTCCAATGTTCATGCACATAGAGCACTACAGGAGCACTTAAGTGACACTAATTCCCCTTGTAAAGTTGGGTGGTTATGCCACGAGCAGACATTTGATGCTAGAATCTTAGGCAACCACCTTGACGTGATGTGTTATCTTGAACATAGTATCAAGGAATTAGTGCGTGCGAGAGACATGTTCATATTCGCCCCATGTTATGAGGTGTACGTTTAACCATGTCTAATTTAGTTCTTTAAACATTGGAATTATATGTTCAGTCCTAATCACTGATTTATTTGTGTATTGTGAATTTATATAGGTTGCATTGGTGCCTCATGGTGATTTGTCCTTCTAATAACACAATCTTTCACCTTGATTTAGCTCGATCAACAAAGAAGTATCTCGTGAAGTCTATAATACAAAAGTAAATATACATACCTAGCGTTGATTATCATTACCTAACTCAGTTAGTAGTTAGACTAATCAAATTTGATTTAACTTTCCTATAGTTTTATGAAGAAAATACATTATCGTGCTCCACGGGGTCCTACATGAAAATCATCAATGGTAAATATTGTGATTATCTAAATAAACATTGTGTAAACAATTTGCCATGCATGTTTGCTTCATTTGATTTTTTCCTATGCTAGTGCCCACAACAAGATAATGGAGTTGATTGTGGCCTATATGTGATGAGATCCATGATTGACATAGCGACTCATTGTACGAACACTTTATAACTTGATGAGCTACGTCCTAAAACTTTTTAATATGCTCTTTTGATGTGATTTTAAGTTTAGAAACCTAAAACTACGTATTAATAACATGTTATGAGAAAGAAATAGTTCAATATTTAAGAAATGTAGAATATAGGCAAAGTAGAAGTCATATAGGCCATATTTAGGCCATTTTGAGGGAAATGAGTCTTAAAACTCAATAAAATACACCATTAATGTGATTTAAAGCCTTAGCTACCTAAACTAGGTAACATATAAATGTTATGAGAAATAAATAGGCCGTTTGGTAAGAAATGTAGAAAATGACCGAATTTGAAGTCATATAGGCCATATTTGGGCCATTTTGAGTGAAATGAGACTTAAAACTTAATAAAATGCACTATTAATGTGATTTCAAGCCTTAGACACATAAAACTAGGTAACATATAAATTTTATGAGAAACAAATAGGCCATTTGATAAGAAATGTAGAAAATGACCGAATTTGAAGTCATATAGGCCATATTTGGGCCATTTTGAGTGAAAGACTTAAAACTCAATAAAATGCACTATTAATGTGATTTCAAGCCTTAGACACCTGAAACTAGGTAACATATAAATGTTATGAGAGAAAAATAGGTCATTTGATAAGAAATGTAGAAAATGACCAAATTTGAAGTCATATAGGCCATATTTGAACCATTTTGAGTGAAATGGGACTTAAAACTCAATAAAATGCACTATTAATGTGATTTCAAGCCTTAGAAACATAAAAATAGGTAACATATAAATGTTATGAGAAAGAAATAGGCCATTTAATAAGAAATGTAGAAAATGGGTAAAGTAAAAGTCATATATGCCATATTTGGGCCATTTTGAGTGAAATAGGAATTAAAACTCAATAAAATGCACTATTAATGTGATTTAAAGCCTTAAACACCTAAAATTAGGTAACATACAAATTTTATGAGAAAGAAATAGGTCATTTGATAAAAAATGTAGAAAATGACCGAATTTGAAGTCATATAGGCCATATTTGGGCCATTTTGAGTGAAATGGGACTTAAAACTCAATAAAATGCACTATTAATGTGATTTAAAGCCTTAAACACCTAAAACTAGGTAACATATAAATGTTATGAGAAAGAAATAGGTCATTTGATAAGAAATGTAGAAAATGACCGAATTTGAAGCCATATAGGCCATATTGAGGGAAATGGGTCTTAAAACTCAATAAAATGCACCATTAATGTGATTTCAAGCCTTAGCCACCTAAAACTAGGTAAAATATAAATGTTATGAGAAATAAATAGGCCATTTGTTAAGAAATGTAGAAAATGGGAAAAGAGGCCTTATTTTAGGCTATTTTGACCTAAGTGAACTTGTAAATGCATGAATATATGACTTACTTGTTTAACATAATTAATTAATTAGCTCTAATATAATATTATATATATTTCAAGTTTTTCAAGGTACAAAAGGAAGGTCCGTTGACAAGGAAGAAACTTACTGAAGTTCGAGACATGTTGGTGTCTTTCATCATCTTTAATTTGTAAATGTCATTTTTATTTGAATTTATAT